CTATCCTCATAGAACAACAACTCAAGAGGAGAAACACCAAAAACGCTTATGGAGTTGGGGCAATACCTATTAAGCTGAGGTATTCTCGAGAGGAGAAGCCGAGTTCAGTATCAAAGGAAGAGAAACCAACCGGAGTCTCTAAGGAAGAACCTAAATCATTCACTTTGATATCTGATAACCGCAACAAAGCTGTGGGGTCGACAAGAACCAGAGACGTCAAGTGTTTCAAGTGTCTTGGGAGAGGACATTACGCCAATGAGTGTTCCAATAAGAAGATCATGATACTCAGGGATACTCAGGGATGATGGTGAATGGGAATCAACAGCTGAATCTAAAGTCGAGTCTCATTCTGATCATGAAGAGCTGTCGGCTCAAGGTTCCTTACTTGTATCAAGAAGATCTCTAAGTGTTCAAGCCAAAGCCATGGAAGAGGAGCAGATAGAGAACCTATTTCATAGCCGATGTCTTGAGCAAGGAAAAGTTTGTAGCCTCATCATAGATGGAGGCAGCTGCACAAATGTAGCTAGTCAAGAGATGGTTCAAAAGCTCAACCTGGTCATGGAGAAGCATCCTCGACCTTATAAGCTCAACTGGTTGAACAATGATGGGGAATTAAAGGTCAACAGCCGAGTCATGGTTCCTATTACCATTGGAGGATATGAAGACAAGATACAGTGTGATGTGTTGCCCATGGACGCAGGACACATACTTCTAGGCAGACAATGGCAATCAGATCGAAAAGCTATTCATGATGGTTTTACTAACAAATATTCCTTTGTTTTTAAAAGCAGAAAGACTACCCTCATACCTTTGACGCCTCAAGAAGTCTACCAGGATCAAATGCAGTTAAAGCAAAAGACAAAACCGCCTACTAAAGCGTCTAACTTCTACTTGAATGCTGCTGATGTCAAAAGATCTTTTAACTCTAATCAATCGGTTCTTTTATTTGTGTTTCAGGAGGCTCTCACCAATATGACTAACCTCACACCGTTTTTGCCGAGTATGATTCAAACTTTTTTGCAGGAATACAATGATGTCTTCCCTGAAGATAATCCTAAAGAGTTACCTCCTTTTAGAGGTATTGAACATCAAATTGACTTCATGCCTGGTGCTTCATTGCCTAATAGACCAGCTTATTGAACCAATCCGGTTGAGACAAAAGAGTTACAAAGACAAGTCGATGAACTAATGGAGAAAGGACACATAAGAGAAAGCATGAGTCCTTGTGCAGTACCAGTTATGCTTGTGCCCAAGAAGGATGGGAGCTGGCGAATGTGTGTAGATTGCAGAGCCATCAACAATATCACTGTAAAGTATCGCCACCCTATCCCTAGACTAGATGATATGCTAGATGAGTTGCATGGTTCTAGCATATTTTCTAAAATTGATCTTAAAAGCGGATATCATCAAAATAAAATGAAGGAAGGAGATGAGTGGAAATCTGCATTTAAGACCAAATATAGCTTGTATGAATGGCTTGTTATGCCATTTTGTTTAACTAATGCGCCTAGTACATTCATGAGATTAATAATCATGTCCTTAGAGCATTCATAGGGGTCTTTGTAGTTGTCTATTTCGACGATATCCTCGTTTATAGCAAGAATCTAGATGAGCATGTAATGCACTTGAGAGCTGTTCTAGATGAGATAAGAAAAGAAAAACTATATGCCAATCTAAAGAAATGCACCTTTGGAACAGATAACCTTGTCTTTTTAGGTTTTGTTATGAGTGCAGATGGCATTAAGGTGGATGAAGAGAAAATCAAGGCTATCAAAGACTGGCCAACCCCTAAAATTGTCAGTGAAGTTAGGAACTTTCATGGCCTGGCCGGATTCTATAGAAGATTTGTTCGAGATTTCAGCACTATAGCTGCACCTCTCACAGAAGTTATCAAAAAGGATGTTGGATTTCAATGGGGAGAAGCTCAAGAACCCGCGTTCAAATCTTTGAAGCATAAGCTTACCAATGCAACTCTATTATCTCTACCTGATTTCTTTAAAACTTTCGAAATAGAATGTGATGCTTCAGGTATAGGAATCGGAGCTGTGCTAATGCAAGACAAGAAGCCGATTGCTTTCTTTAGTGAAAATCTTGGAGGAGCCACCCTTAATTATCCAACCTACAACAAAGAGCTGTATGCTTTGGTCAGGGCATTACAAACATGGCAACATTACTTGTGGCCCAAGGAGTTTGTCATTCATACCGATCATGAATCCCTGAAGCATCTCAAAGACAGCAAAAGCTTAACAAGAGACACGCAAGGTGGGTTGAGTTCACTGAGACCTTTCCTTATGTCATCAAATACAAGAAAGGTAAGGACAATGTAGTTGCCAATGCATTGTCTCGAAGGTACACTCAACTCTCTTCTCTTGATACTAAACTTCTTGGTTTTGAACAACTTAAACTGCTGTATTCATCTGACTCGGATTTTCAAAACGTTTATGAGTCTTGCACTAAGTTTGCTTCGGGTTATTATCGTAGACAAGAGGGATTTCTTTTCTTTCATAATCGATTGTGTATCCTTATTGTTCTATTCGAGACTTGTTAGTCAGGGAAGCTCATGGAGGTGGACTTATGGGTCATTTTGGTATAGCCAAAACCTTGAAGGTATTACAAGATCATTTTCATTGGCCTCACATGAAGAGAGACGTTGAGCGAGTTTGTGCAAGATATGCAACCTGTAAGCAAGCTAAAGCTAAGGTTCAGTCCAACGGTTTGTATACACCTCTACCTATTCCTTATCACCCTTGGACTGATATATCAATGGATTTCGTGCTTGGATTGCCTAGAACAAGGACTGGAAGGGATTCGATCTTTGTTGTTGTTGATAGGTTTTCTAAGATGGCACATTTCATTGCATGTAACAAGACTGATGATGCATCTCATGTAGCTAATCTGTTCTTTAGGGACATTGTTCGGATACATGGCATGCCTAGAACCATAGTATCTGATAGGGATACCAAGTTCTTAAGTTATTTTTGGAAAACTTTATGGTCTAAGCTAGGTACAAAGCTATTGTTTTCCACTACTTGTCACCCACAAACTGATGGGCAAACTGAATTAGTGAATAGAACATTGTCTACATTGTTACGAGCATTGATCAAAAAGAATCTTAAAGCATGGGAAGACTGTTTGCCTCATGTAGAATTCGCGTATAATCATTCAGTGCATTCGACTACTAAATTTTCTCCTTTTGAAATTGTTTATGGCTTTAACCCTTTGTCGCCTTTGGATCTAACCTCTCTTCCTTTGAGTGAAAAAACTAGTCTAGATGGAAAGAAAAGAGCAGAACTTGTTAAACTGATCCATGAGAAGGCCAGAGCTAACATAGAGGAGAAAACAAAGCCGACACAAGCTTACCTTTGAGTAGGGAGATCTCGTTTGGGTGCACCTAAGGAAGGAGAGATTTCCAGCAGAAAGGAAATCAAAACTGATGCCAAGAGCTGATGGACCCTTTGAGATAATTAGAAAGATCAATGATAACGTTTATCAACTTGATCTACAAGGTAAGTACAAGATAAGTTCTTCTTTCAATATTGCTGACTTGATTCCTTATTTTGCAGATGATCCAGATTTGAGGACAAATCTTTTTCAAGAAGGGGGGGGGAATGATATGATCTTGGATAGCATCAATAAAGAGTTGGAACCAGAAGAAGAGCCGCAAGGAGCTAAGGAGCTGAGGAGAAAAGACAGGGATCAAGGAATGGAACAAGAAGACCCTTTGCTCATTTCAAAAGGTCCCATGACCCGAGCAAGGACCAAGAGGCCCAAGAAAGCTGTTGGAGATATACTTAAGCAAGGGGAGCTTATGGAACAAACAGGAAAAGAGATGGGTACAACTACATTAGTTGTGATCCAAGTCCGAGAAGGCTAATGGGCTTGTGATCCATCTATGTACTCTTTTTCCCAATCTCAAGTTTTGTCCCAATGGGTTTTCTTGAGATAGGTTTTTAATGAGGCATATTTTGGATCACCTCACATCTAAGCCCATTCAGCCGAATCCAAGGAAAGAAGAAGAGGAGCGTGTGAAGATGAGTTTCAATTCAAACTTGACCAGCTTTCAAAGAACAAGTTCCTAGACGCTTTAATGCTTTGTAGACTCATCTGTTCTTCTCTTTATATTCTCTTGTAAACTCTCTTTTAAGACTATCTTATCTTTTATCAAAATCTTTTCTAAGTAAGATCAAAATCTCTTGTTTGGTGTGTAATATCCTTCAAGTCCTTTTTCGATTCTTCTTTGGTGTGTAATATCCTTAGTTGATTCGGAGATCCATTCATCAAGAGTCTTTCGCAACTCTTGGATTCTTATTAATCCCACATACCTTGAAACAACACCCTTGTTTTCAAGGCTATCCTTCAGATCCAGTTTAGTGAGTGTCGGATTCAGTGAGGTTCACATTATTAGGTTTAGCCGTTTTTCTCGTTTTTAGTCGATTTCATTAAGTTTAGTTATTAGGTCATTTTAATTCCCGTATTTTCTCGTTAAGATTAGTTTTTACATTTTAAAGACACCACCAAAACCCTTACAAAAATCGTCTGGTTCTAGACTTCCTCACTTTATATTTCTTTCGAAGGCTTTTGCAGGAAAGATCCTCCATCCCTGTGGATTCGATCCCTAAGTACTAAAATCGATCAGCTGTGCACTTGCGGCTATTGATTTCATTTAGGGTAGAACTTGACACCCTCACCACACGACACATCAAAACCTAGTACGAAATCCATAGAAATATCTACCCATGGTGCGTTAGGAATAGGTAAAGGTAAGTATAAACCATGAGGGTTAACCTGGATTTGGCCTTGTGGCAAGTAACACACATCGTGAGAAATGTCTCTCCACATCTTTCTTGGGGTGCAGCCAAAAGAAATGATCAGCTACTACGGCTAGTATTTTATACACTCTGAAATGACCCATAAGACCTCCATCGCGTGCCTCCTTCAGCAATAGCTCCCTCATTAACCATTGGGGAACACATAGTCTCTTGTCTCGGAATAAAAACCCATCATGCAAGTAAAAGCTCCTGGCATGCTGAATAAGCTTCTCCGAACTCTGGATCATCTTTGTAGAGCTCATTGATGTGCTCAAACCCGAGCACCTTTGCTTCCACGGTAGAGATCAATACATGTCTTCTAGAGTGTGCATATGCCACTACATTTTCTTGGCCCTTCTTGTACTTGATCACATAGGGAAAGGTCTCTATAAACTCCACCCACTTAGCATGGCGTCTCTTAAGTGTGGTCTGTCCTCTCAACTGCTTCAAAGTCTTGTGATCGATATGGATGATGAATTCCTTAGACAACAAGTAATGTTTCCAAGTCTCCAATACTCGGACCTAGGCATATAGTTCTTTTTTGTAGGTGGGATAATTACCGGTCTCTTTCTCTGATGTAACACAGCTCCAATTCCCACTTCTGATGCATCACACTCTACTTCAAACATTTCTTCTAAGTCTAGTAGAGCTAGCACCGGCGCTTGTGTCAAACGCTTCTTCATTGCTTCAAATGCTGCATCTTGGGCTAGACCCCATGAGAATGGCACATTTTTCTTGATCATCACGGTGAGTGGTGCTATTACTGGGCTGAAATCCCGTAAAACCCGCCTGCAGAAGCTTGCAAATCCATGAAAACTCCTGACATTACCGATCGTAGTTGGTGTTGGCCACTCACGTATAGCTTTGATCTTCTCCTCATATACTTGTAATCCATGTTCACTTACTACACAACCTAGGAAGACAAGTCGGTTAGTACAAAATGTGGACTCTTTAAGGTTAGCATATAATCCTTCCTTTGTGAAGTGTTTTAAGCACTAGTTCGAAGTGTTGTAGATGATCATTAAGGTTTTTACTATATATAAGTATATCATCAAAGTAAACAACTACAAATTTACTTATAGAAGCTCGAAGAACCTGGTTCATAAGGGGCATGAAGGTGTTTGGTGCATTAGTTAAGCAAAATTGCATAACCAGCCACTCATACAAACCCTTTGAGTGGTCTTAAATGCGGTTTTCTACTCGTCTCCTTCTCTCATTTGAACCTGGTGGTAACCACTCTTCAAGTCCATCTTTGAGAAGATAGTGGATCAACTTAACTCGTCCAAAATGTCGTCTAAGCGTGGAAGTGGGTGCCGGTATTTGATGGCAATTTTGTTGATGGCACGGCAGTCCACACATATTCTCCATGTGCTATATTTCTTTGGCACTAAGAGAACTGATACAGTACAAGGGCTGAGACTCTCTTGGATATAGCCCTTGTCCATTAAGTCTCGCACTTGTCTCTTCAACTCCTTAGTATCCTCAGGATTTATTCTATAAGCCGGCTTGTTAGGCAATGATGATCCGGGGACTATGTCGTTTTGGTGCTCCATTCCACGAAGTGGTTGCAAGCCTGAGGGTATTTCTTCAGGAAATACATCCCTAAACTTATTCAAGATGGCTTGAACTTCGGGTGAGATCTCGGAGACCTATATATGCGCTCAAACACTCTATAAACATCATCAGTAGCACAATGCCTTTAGCTCTCATGGTTTTACAAATATCACTAGATGATAAATAAATACTAGTTTTACTTATCTCGGCCTCCTTTTTCATATGCACTTGCATTTCATGTACCTCGGTGGGGCTAATAAGGTTTTCCGAACTCTGGATCATCTTTGTGAGCTCCTTGACTGCTCAAACCCGAGCACCTTTGCTTCCACGGTAGAGATCAATACATGTCTTCTAGAGTGTGCATATGCCACTACATTTTCTTGGCCCTTCTTGTACTTGATCACATAGGGAAAGGTCTCTATAAACTCCACCCACTTAGCATGGCGTCTCTTAAGTGTGGTCTGTCCTCTCAACTGCTTCAAAGTCTTGTGATCGATATGGATGATGAATTCCTTAGACAACAAGTAATGTTTCCAAGTCTCCAATACTCGGACCTAGGCATATAGTTCTTTTTTGTAGGTGGGATAATTACCGGTCTCTTTCTCTGATGTAACACAGCTCCAATTCCCACTTCTGATGCATCACACTCTACTTCAAACATTTCTTCTAAGTCTAGTAGAGCTAGCACCGGCGCTTGTGTCAAACGCTTCTTCATTGCTTCAAATGCTGCATCTTGGGCTAGACCCCATGAGAATGGCACATTTTTCTTGATCATCACGGTGAGTGGTGCTATTACTGGGCTGAAATCCCGTAAAACCCGCCTGCAGAAGCTTGCAAATCCATGAAAACTCCTGACATTACCGATCGTAGTTGGTGTTGGCCACTCGGGTATAGCTTTGATCTTCTCGGGAAAGTGGGGTGTAATCCATGTTCACGGAGAGTAGCAGAGACCTAGGAAGACAAGTCGGTTAGTACAAAATGGTGGACTCTTTAAGGTTAGCATATAATCCTTCCTTTGTGAAGTGTTTTAAGCACTAGTTCGAAGTGTTGTAAATAATCATTAAGGTTTTTACTATAAATAAGTATATCATCAAAGTAAACAACTACAAATTTACTTATAGAAGCTCGAAGAACCTGGTTCATAAGGGGCATGAAGGTGTTTGGTGCATTAGTTAAGCAAAATTGCATAACCAGCCACTCATACAAACCCTTTGAGTGGTCTTAAATGCGGTTTTCTACTCATCTCCTTCTCTCATTTAAACTTGGTAATAACCACTCTTCAAGTCCACATTTGAGAAGATAGTGGATCCACTTAACTCGTTCAACATGTCGTTTAAGCGTGGAATGGGGTGCCGGTATTTGATGGTAATTTTGTTGATGTCACGGCAGTCCACACACATTCTCCAATTTTCTTTGGCACTAAGAGAACTGACACATCACAAGGGCTGAGACTCTCTTGGATATAGCCCTTGTCCATTAAGTCTCGCACTTGTCTCTTCAACTCCTTAGTATCCTCAGGATTTATTCTATAAGCCGGCTTGTTGGGCAATGCTGAACTGGGGACTAAGTCGATTTGGTTCTCCATTCCACGAAGTGGGTGCAAGCCTGAGGGTATTTCTTCTGGAAATACATCCCTAAACTTATTCAAGATGGCTTGAACTTCAGGTGAGATCTCGGAGACCTATATATGCGCTCAAACACTCTTTAAACATAATCAGTAGCACGGTGCCTTTAGCTCTTATGGTTTTACAAATATCACTAGATGATAAATAAATACTAGTTTTACTTATCTCGGCCTCTTTTTTCATATGCACTTGCATTTCATGTACCTCGGTGGGACTAATAAGCTTCTCCGAACTCTGGATCATCTTTGTAGAGCTCCTTGATCTGCTCAAACCCGAGCACCTTTGCTTCCATGGTAGAGATCAATGCATGTCTTCTAGAGAGTGCATATGCCACTACATTTTCTTGCCACTTCTTGTACTTGATCACATAGGAAAAGGTCTCTATAAACTCCACCCACTTAGCATGGCGTCTCTTAAGTGTCGTCTGTCCTCTCAACTACTTCAAAGTCTCGTGATCAGTATGGATGATGAATTCTTTAAACAACAGGTAATGTTGCCAAGTCTCCAATGATCAGACCTAGGCATATAGTTCCTTTTCGTAGGTGGGATAATCACCGGTCTCTTTCTCTGATGTAACACAGCTCCAATTCCCACTTCTGATGCATCACACTCTACTTCAAACATTTCTTCAAAGTCTAGTAGAGCTAGAACCGGAGCTTGTGTCAAACGCTTCTTCATTGCTTCAAATGGTGCATCTTGGGCTAGACCCCATGAGAATGGCACATTTTTCTTGATCATCACGGTGAGTGGTGCTACTACTGGGCTGAAATCACGTAAAACCCGCCTGCAGAAGCTTGCCAATCCATGAAAACTTCTGACATGACCGATCGTAGTTAGTGTAGGCCACTCACGTATAGCTTTGATCTTCTCTTCATCTACTTGTAATCCATGTTCACTTACTACACAACCTAGGAAAACAAGTCGGTTAGTACAAAATGTGTACTTCTTAAGGTTAGCATATAAGCCTTCCTTGTGAAGTGTTTTAAGCACTAGTTCGAAGTGCTGTAGATGATCATTAAGGTTTTTACTATATATAAGTATATCATTAAAGTAAACAACTACAAATTTACTTATATAAGCTCGAAGAACCTGGTTCATAAGGGGCATAAAGGTGTTTGGTGCATTAGTTAAGCAAAATGGCATAACCAGCCACTCATACAAACTTTGGTTGGTCTTAAAGGCGGTTTTCTACTCGTCTCCTTCTCTCATGTGAACCTGGTGGTAACCACTCTTCAAGTCCACCTTTGAGAAGATAGTGGATCCACTTAACTCGTCCAACATGGCGTCTAAGCGTGGAATGGGGTGCCGGTATTTGATGGTAATTTTGTTAATGGCACGGCAGTCGACACACATTCTCCATGTGCCATATTTCTTTGGCACTAAGAGAACTGAAAAAGCACAAGGGCTGAGACTCTCTTGGATATAGCCCTTGTCCACTAAGTCTCGCACTTGTCTCTTCAACTCTTTAGTATCCTCAAGATTTATTCTATAAGCCGGCTTGTTGGGCAATGCTGATCCGGGGACTAAGTCGATTTGGTGCTCCATTCCACAAAGTGGGTGCAAGCCTGAGGGTATTACTTCAGGAAATACATCCTTAAACTTATTCAAGATGGCTTGAACTTCGGGTGAGATCTCGGAGACCTATATATGCGCTCAAACAATCTTTAAACATCATCAGTAGCACGGTGCCTTTAGCTCTCATGGTTTTACAAATATCACTAAATGATAAATAAATACTAATTTTACTTATCTCGGCCTCCTTTTTCATATGCACTTGCATTTCATGTACCTCGGTGGGTCAAAGAGGTGCAAGATTATTTACGCGCTTTGTGCATAAATGAATAATCGCTGGTGCGGCCATTATGGTTTATGGCTTGGTCAAACTGCCACGGTCTACCGAGTAAAAGATGTCCTGCTTGCATTGGCACCACGTCTCATGATACTTTCCAATACTAAAAGGCACAGATACTTGCTCGGAGATCTTGAGTTCGGTCTGGTCATTTCACTAGGAACACATGTGATAACACCGGATTTTGACAGTTTTTATGGATCACTTTAATGTTTTTTACAGGTGTTTTTACTCCATTTTCAAAGGTTTTCAAAGGATTTCTATGTTTTTGGATTTTAAAAGACCTTTCAGGTGATTTGGGATAAAGAGGCACAAATTGGAACAAAAAGACTCTTTTGGACAAATGCAGACCGTCAGAACTCTCATGAAGAGACGAAGACCTTCTCACCGTCTGATCACCCTCAACATTGGATAACTTATAGAAGAATCAACCAGCTTTCAAATGCACTTGGTTTGGAGACATTCCAACGGTGGGATCTCAAGATATTCCATTAGCCCCGGAGCCACTCGAAGACGGCCAGCAAGTCACGCGACCGCGGCCACCAGCCCATTCCCCGCGGTCACAAGCTTCCCGACCGCGGCCAACCACCTATTTCCCGCGGTCACGTCATTCCCGACCGCGGCCGGCCAACTCCGAATTAAAGCCCATATTTCTGAAGCCTTTATCGAGAATTTGGCTCTGATAGACAAGACTTTTTATGGTCTCAGGGCTATC